TTTTTTTAAATTTTAGCCATTTGAATAGCTGTGTATAACATCTCATTATGATTTTCATTTGCATTTTTSTAATGGCTAATGATGTTGAACATTTTTCATGTGCTTGCTTGTGATTTGTATTATCCTTTTCGATGAAATGTTTATGTCTTTTTGCCCATTTTCTAATTGGATCATTATTTTTACTGTTTAGTTTCGAGAGTTTCTTATTTATCCTAGATACAAGTCCTCTATCAGATGTGTGGTTTCTTGAATTTTTAACATCACTTCCACCAAGGAAAAGTAAGTAAAATTTACCATCTCTTCTTGCATGCCCAATTATTGAYTTAGTTCCTATCATTATGTACTCTTTCTAGAGAATTGAGACATAGGAGGTATTAAAATAGGTATCTAGGAGGATCATGGAAAGAGTAAATACTTGAAAATACATGTTCTGAAAGTAAAGCCAAAAATTACTTGTGGGAGTGTGAGATGCCTAAATGTCCATACTAATGTAAAAAAGAGAAAATATGGAGTTGGGGTAGAATACTCTCCTTGGATGTGTGAAGCCCCAGGAACTCACACATATACACATACCTGCCCACATAGTGGATACAAGTGATGATGTTCATAAACAGGAAAACTATCACTTGAAATCTTTCCAGCTTCTCCTAGGAAAGTAGGAAGGAGTTCTTTCTTTCTGGAATCTCTTTTTAACCCTGCTAATTGTTACAAAGCTTGTCTAATTGAATGGTAAGAATTACTGAACTTAGGTTCATATCACTTGCAGTTAAGAAGCAGAATATGAAAATTATCAAATAACACTGTTGTGATGACATGGATAAAGTGTGAAGGCGAAAGGGGGCATGATTTATGTTAAAATCTCAGGCTAATCAATGTCCTAATTACTATGAATATGAAAGCTGCTTTTTTTTTTTTTTTTTTACTCCTGGGCAGCAATAAGCTCTCACCAGCCAACTTGAGCAACATTGCCATCTGCTGTTAAGAAGGGATAGTTGCTGCTTCTGAGAACTTGGCAGTAATTTCCTTGCCATAGGGACAGCAGATGTTGAGAAAGTCTGTAGCACTACTGATATTAAAAGACAGTATGCATCCAAGTACAGAAAAAAATAAACTAGTGGATTAAGTTCCATCCTTAAACTTTTAAATATAAAATCCTAGCCTGTACCATTAGCCTAACAAGAAACTCATATTTCTGACTGGTGCCTTCCCCTTTTTTAGAAGCAGTGAAAGCYTCTATTAGTTATGGTTTTCTACTCTGAAAAATATCAAAGAAGAAGATAAGAGAGGTGAGGAGAGAATGTTTTATTTTGCTGATGCTTTTGTTTCCAAGTGACTCCAAAATGAAACTTTGTGGAACTGAAATTCTTTAATGTTCCTTCCTTTTACTCATGCCAAAAATACCACCATGAACATTTGTGCTTTGGGTTTAAAAGTTAATATTATGCCTTGCTTTTATCTAAAAGGTAAAAATATTTGCCTTTGAAAACAGGCTAGTACAAGAGCAAATAAGCTTTAAAAAAAGGGATGTTATCTGCTTTCCTCCTTTTTTTATTCAGAATGATCTGTATAAGTGGGAACAATTCAGTTCTAAATAAACTTTGTCATACCATTGTCATGAACCCCTGTCAAAGCCATTTTCTGTTTGTTTGATGGAAAAGGCATGTGGGATATATACAGATTCACTTGTGTTGAACTGGGGGTTTTGTGTAAATTTTCTCAAATAAATGCTAGCAGAAACCATTTTAGGTGTATATTTTTTCTGTTACTTTTGAATACCTCTTTGGATTAACAATAATTCCTCCATACTCCTTAGTTTTAAAGTATAGCAAATGATACCTGATAAGAGAAAAAAATGTTCTTAATTTACTTCATAGTTTAGATGAGCTAGTAAAATTTTGTTATATAACTTATAAAAATCATATGTATATAATGTAAGTCATGTATAAACTAATAATCCTTAAGTATATATGCATGTATGTATATGTGTGTACATAGTTGCATACGTTTGTATATGCATATATATGTTTTCAGAAAGACCAGATGTAAGCCAGACATTCTCTGTACCTTCTTTTTTGGAAATTGCTGTTGGAATTATCCTCTAGGGAGGCTTCTTCCTTGTCTTTCATTCCTGAGATATCTCACCCAATTTAGAACCCCCTGGGACTTGCTTTTTTGGCCCATCATGTCTATGTAAAATCCCACTACAGGAGGCAAAGGCTGTTTGTCTCYTTTGCTTTCACTTGACAGTTCATTGATTTTTGTTTGTTTGTTTTTCCATAAACCTTTTTTACAAGAGCCAACAAAAAGTGCTTTGTACATTCACTTACCTCTTATTTATCCTTTACCTCCATTCTTCCAAAAACCAGATAAAATTTATTAGTGGCACCATAATCTACTATGAGTCCAGTTTAATAGTGGTTCCCAGTATTTAGGTATAAATATTTTAACATAAGGGTGGGGATGTTGCTCAAGCGGTAGCACGCTCGCCTGGCATGCGTGCGGCCCAGGTTCGATCCTTAGCACCACATACAAACAAAGATGTTGTGCCCGCCGAAAACTAAAAAATAAATATTAAAAAAATATATTTTAACATCAAAAATGTTTTGTTTCTTAAAAAAATGTTTTATTTCTTACTGATATTTTAGAGAACATGAATTATAAATGCATTCAGCAAAACTTACAAATGAATTTAATAGTATCAGTAGTATTATATACTTGCCATATGGTAATACATATTTTATAAATTATTGATTCAATCTACTACATTGGTGTCCTATATGTGAGTTACATGTATAATTTAAAATTTCCTATATTAAAAAAGCGAAAAGAAATAAGCTATATTAAAAGCTATATTAAAAAAGCGAAAAGAAATAAGTAAATTTATTATTTAAATTTAACTCTTGAGAATGTTATGTTTTATAACATACAGTCATCCAAAAAAATGATTAAAGTAGTTTATATTGCTTTTCACCTAAAGTCTTTGCAACCCAGTGTGTGTTTTACAACTACACCTCATCTCCATTCAGAGGAGCCACAATTCAAGTTTTTAGTAGATACATGGAGCTAGCAACTGCTTTAGCATACATACAGTGTAGGTTTATACCTTGCTTGGTCTTTGGTGGATTCTTTAATCTTTATAGTAACACTGTGGCTTCCTGAAGTCCGCCATCCACAAATTGGGTAACTTCAGCAATACTTGATAACTATTCATTTGTTAAAATATGAAAATAGTCTGTTCTGACCAAGGACACCTTACAATCAATTACACTTTAATTACAAATGTTGCATGTTTCTGGATTTAATATTCAAAGTCAGATGGTTAGTTTCAGTTATATCCAGTATAATGAAGAATCTGGCATGACTGTGTTCTGTATGCAACAGGACATTTTTCTCTTAAGCTTATGATATCTAAGCTGAAATAGAATAGTTCACAATTTTAGGCCAGTTAATTATAGAAAAACTATTTCCTCATTGGAAAGGTCCTAGGGATATTTACCCAAAGGTGCTCAACCACTGGGCCCACATCCCCATCCCTTTTTTTTAATTTGAGACAGGGTCTCAATAAGTTGCTTAGGGCCTGGCTAAATTGCTAAAGCTGGCTTTGAATTTGGGACCCTTCTGCCTCAGCCTCTGAGCCACTGGGATTCCAGGCGCATACCACCACTCCTGGTTTGGAAAAATGAATTTTTAAGTTGTGGCTAAAACCTATTGAATTTCTCAGAATGAAAGTCAACACTTCTGATTTTAATTATTTTTTCTATTCTTTCAGCCTCCCCCTCAAAAAAAAAAAATTGAGCACCTAGTCTGTTAAACAAAAATTAATAGAACAGAATTAACAGTTAAGCCAAGTTATAGAGTATATATAAATCCRGTTAAATGAGAGATATGTCTATCTTCAAAGTGCCTTCCAGTAGAAATATGAAATGGTATCTAACTAAAACGATCTCCCTACTTTGCTTAACTAATCTCTGACTTAATGCTTTGACTGTTCCTCCAGGAAGCCTTTACACACCGAGTAAATTTGGCTTGGGAAGATGCCTCTCCAAAATACCTTTCTAGAATTTTGTATTTTTATAGCATTTATACAAACTGTTGTGATTGCCTGGTTATTTTCTGCATAGGGACTAGATGCTCCATGAGATTAAAAACTGTATGTATTTTTTTCTGTGTGATTTCCCAGAAGCTGGCACATATTTGTTAAATGAATTAGTTGAAATAAAAAATACTTGTAAAATCTAGATCCCTGTGATGAAACCAACAAAACTAATGAGTTATATCAGTCAAGGAGTCTTACATTTTGGTTTTTAAAAAATGTTTCATATGGACTGGGGCC